TGTGTATAAATTATAATCAAATAATTTCAATTAAATACGTACATCCACTTTTTTTAGGTTTTTCAACAAATTGTAAAATATTACATTTCATTGTATTGTATGTGAAGCAATTTTATACAGCGAGAAACATCTGTTATGATATAAAAATATTTATTTGATTAGTTTTTATTATATTATTATTATTTTATTTATGTGAAGTTATGAAAAATGGTCCAATTTAAAAAATGTGTGCTATATTTTTACAGGTGCACAAGGCCTAATGTGTTTAGACTAAAAAAAGAAGAAATGCTGAAAAAATTACACTGCAACGTACCCAATTTTTTTTAAATATATTTATAATCAAATATTTTAAATTAAATACTTTTTTTATCGGTTGACAACAAATTATATAAATATTACATTTCCTTGTATTCCACCAAGCAAATCTATGCAACACAAAATCTCAGTTTTCGGGAAAAATTTATGCTTTGTTTATCATTTATTTTAACTCGGACGTAGATTTCATTTTTACGAATAAAAATTTTTTCATCACAACCAAGACCTTACATAAAAAGAATAATTAATTTGAAAGAAGTAATTTGGTCAATTAGGCCATTAAATAAAAATGTATTTACAAACAAAATTAAAATACTATCGATACAAAACCGAATCGAGGCTCAAAATTACAGCATAATTTTTATTATGTAAGGGCAGTTTAGTTGTATGAATCCTATTTGTGGTTTCGATGTTTCTATTTTTTAGATTATCCGAATATTTATTGTACAAAGGGGAAAGTCGATATTAGAATGAAATCTGTCGAAATGGGAGCTTGATAAAAATGATAGAAATGTTAGAGTAGAATAATATCCAGTTCATAACTCATCGATAATATGTGAAGTGCATCAGTGTGGTTTTGTTTAAAAAATAGTTTTATTTTGTGAAGATCAATGTAGATTTAACTCGCAAAATTGCTAAATGAAACCAGCAATAAAAATATAAACTTGTGAACTAGTTGTAACAAGCTTGTATCGTTTTGATTACCAGTATTCTACAATAAACATTTTTTTAAACTGCTTGGCTTTAATGATGCGGTCAGGGGACTTAACAAGTTCAATGGTGCGGTTATTTGCATAGCCATCAGATTAAAAAGGGGGTGCAAATCGTCCAAAGCGCAATTAGTCTATGTTAGCCCGTTGTAGATTTTAATTCTAACCCGGGGGAGAGTTGTTCTGTTTACTCCGGTTTTAGTGTACAGCAGATACAGAGAGCCGAGGTAATCCACAAGGGCGGGACCAGCCCATAAATTGCCTCGTGTGGCGGCCGGGGGCGGCTCAACAAGTAGCCTCCGCTTACCCGCCGCCCCCGCAGGAGCTACACAGGTGGCAAATACATCAATTACCACTTGGTGAACCGGGTCGGGGGTGGGCCATACTTTTGAATCTAGCGGAAGGAGCTGAAGCCTTTATTTCATTCCCGAATCCTTCACGGTTTACCATAACAAAAACCAATTGACGTCGACGTAAAATAATTTCGCCCCGGTCAATTATTTTTAAATTACGCTTACATTATGAAACAACTTCAATCAGACCTTGTCTTCTTAAACCGGAATGAAATAAATCAGGAAACTGTGTTTTCGGTTAGGGTTTGCACTTGCATTAATGCCTTCATTCCAAAGAAAATAGTGAACATTTTTTAAAAATATCCTGAAGACTCCTCGAATTATCTCAATATTCGATTTATCCAAATATCACCTACCTAGTTATGTATGTTTTTCGACCTTTAATGAAAAAATGTGATATTAAAATGACATGTTATTTTGTAAAACAAGAACAAGGTACTGTAATAACTTAATCCGGACCGTGAGAGAGAGAGAGAGAGAGAGAGAGAGAGAGTGATAGAGAGAGAAAGAGAGGAGAGAGATTAACTAACTATTAATGATTTTATTTAAGCAAAGTTAGGTCTCCTGAACCTTTCTTACACTTAACAAAGAATAAGAACGAGAAGGAGAAAAGGAGGAAGGGAGATACAGAAAGAGAGAGAGAAAGAGAGAGATAGAGAGTGAGTGAGCCAGAAAGGTAGAGAAAGGAGAGAGACGCGAGAGAGGAAGAGGGGGAGAGAGAGTGTGTGTGAGAGACACAGATAGAGATAGAGAGAATATATATGTACGTTTCTTAGTGACCTGTTGTGCCATAATTTGTCAGGAGCGGTGAAGAAAAACACCTTTTTCATATTTTGCCGACGTTTCTACCTTTATTCGGGTCATCTTCAGGGCCTGGGTAAATTGCAAAACATATGTTGATTGGAAAAAGTACAACACAGCTGAGATAAATAAATAGATGGATAGATAGGTAGACAGAGACAAATATTGGGTTGTCCGGAAAATAATGCAGGATTTTGGTATTAAACAAAAAAAAAGAAACTAGTTACTTTAAAGCAATGTTCTTTAATCAAAATTCTCCCAACGTGTTGGTAACTTATTAATTCCGTCTGAGTAGAATTCAGAATTTTTAGAATTGATAAAGTCAATAAATGCATTTTCCAGTTCCGTTTGATTTTTGAATATTATGTGTTGTAAGTAGTGGTCCAGGTGTCTAAAAAAATGGTAGTCAGTAGGCGAGAGGTCCGGAGAGTAGGGTGGGTGAGGCAAAGTTTCATAGCCAAGCTCCAATAATTTTTGTGACGTTACACGTGACACATGTGGTCGAGCGTTGTCATGCAACAAAATGGGCCCTTTCCGATTGACCAAAGAGGGCTTCATTACTGCCAATTTCTGATGCATGGTATTAATTTGGTTACAGTATGATTCAGCATTGATGGTTTCGCCAGGATTTAAGAAGCTGTAGTGTATTAAACCAAATGAAGCCCACCATACCGTAACCATTACCTTTTTTTGATGAGTTGGGGGCTTTGGAGCTTCTCCTTTGTCGAGCCACTGTCCAGAACGTCTAGTGTTATCGTAGAGAATCCACTTTTCGTCACATGTAACAATTCTGGCCAGAAATGGGTCATTTTTGTTTCGACAAAGAAGTGATGCACAAACATCAAAGCGCTGATTTTTTGGCGATCGTTTAATGAGTGTGGAACCCAATTTTCGAGTTTTTTCACTTTTCCAATCGCCTTGAGGTGGTCAGCGACGGTCGTTTTACTGACTTTGAGTTGCTCTGCAAGTTCTCGAACAGTTGTTTTGGGGTTTTCTTCCACCACTGATCGCAGAACATCATCATTAAGAGAGGAAGGCCTTCCACGACCTTCTTCATCTTCAAGGCTGAAATCTCCCTCCCGAAATTTTTTAAACCACCTTTGCACAGTGCACTCATTAACACAACCCTCGCCCCAGACTTGGTTAATGTTTCTAGCCGTTTGGGCTCCGCTTCGGCCGAGTTTAAACTCGTAAAAGAAAATCGTACGAAATTCTCGCTTTGACATTATAAGGATGACTGAATTATTTCCAAGTAGCGGAATGCTACAGAGGTAAACAAACAATATCATTTGGAAGAGGATTAATAAGTGTTGACATTCATACAAATGAGTAATCCTGTAAACGTAAACAGAATATTTTATATAGATTTTTTTTAATGAAAACTTAAAATCCTGCATTATTTTCCGGACAACCCAATAGATAGATAGGTAGGTAGGTAGGTAGGTAAATAGATAGATAGATAGATAGATACATAAAAAGGAAAGATAGACAGATAAATATATGTACATATAGTTTGATTGATAGAGATCATTAATGATTTATTCAGACCTTTAAATACACACCGTTTGTTATGCATACGACATCTGCTAAATTGTAAATTTTGAAAATTCTTTTGTCTACTTTTATTTCTCCATAATGAAGCCAGTAAGTTGGTGTTAAAAACATTAAACAAGTATTTAAACCAAAAGATTGGTTTGCCTTATATTGGAAATGGTCATCGTACCCTCCGGCGTCCGAGTGGTGGATTGCAAGGATCCTTTTTTTCAACTGTCTTTTTCATATGGAGGTAAACGCGGCGTCCATAAATCAACACCAGGGTTTCGAGCCGCTGGCTGAATAAAGGGAAAGTTTGGGTCCGTCGTGCCGGGCGTCGGTTTTTATCCCTTCATTCTTTTCTCCGCCTACTCCGGTATGCATTAAATTCGGCTTTTAATATTAATGCCATTCAACGTCACGGGGACCGGCCTACCTGAAGAGCAAACGTCCATGATTTATCAAAGGATAGCATGATTGAGACGTCGCGTCGGTTAACGAATCGGATCTCCCGGGGATTGAGGCGTAGGAATGCAGTTTAGGGAAATTTTCTTAAACAGTGAGGCCCCCGGGCCGTGGGAGTTCGGAGAAACACGTGAGAGCTGATTTATGGCGTCCCAGACTATCCGTAGGCACCTGGTTTTGTTAAATAATATGGAGCATGACCACGCAATTCAGGTAAGAATTACACAAGGAAGGCGGAAGTGGTATCCTAAGGGTGCGCAAGAGACAATTAGTGCCCACTAGAGAAATTAGGCCCTCAGGTAATAAAATAAAATCAACCATATCAGCGGTTCTAACGAAAATTCTTCCAAACATTATAGGTCAGAGGAGCGAAAATGAGCAAATTTACAAGTTATTATTTATACTTTTTTTCAGACTAAATAGACGTTTCAGAATAAAACTAAACGTGCATCAATAGCAGCTTGTTACTAAATATATTTAACATTATAAACAAACATTTGACAAAACTACCAAACCTAGACTAACTGGAATTTTCAAAATTTGCAACGTCTAGCCATTACAAAAAATAACCGACATCCAAATAAATGTTTTACTTGACGATTTGACTGTCAAAAGAATTGTACGTAAATATTTAAAAAAATAATTTTATCAACATAAATAATTAGTCTATCCCTTAATTTTGAATTTTCCAGTGTTAAAATTCTTTAGTGAAATTGTTAGAAATTCACTCTGAAATGCTTTTTAATTGGATTTTTTAAAGAAATGCTTGTATATAAATATGGAAATTAATTAAACAAATATATATATATATTTATTTACTTACCGAACTGGCTCCTCATCCAAGGATAGAGAGGACTCGGGAGGTTGGTGTTGTTATTGTTGTTGTTTTGGTTGGGTTGGTTGGGAGGCGGTTGCTGGACCACCTGCTGTTGTGGGTGATGAGGCGCTTGTGTAGGCTGTTGACTGTTGTACATCATATGAGCTTGGTTGGGAGGCGGGGGCGGCGCTTGTTGGTGTTGATGAGGGCCCATGTGGTGCTGTTGTTGGTGGGGGTGGGCATGATGGCTCATGTCCATTTCCGGCGGACTCTCCGGCCCACCGATGCCGTTCCCGACCGCTGCTTGCAGCTTGCACGAGGCGTAGACCACGGGCGTCTGGTGGCCGTTTTGGCCCATGTGACCCATGGCCCCGGGGGAGTCCGCCCTGTAATCCATGTTCTGGTAGTAGCCTGCCGCCCTGATATCCATCCTGTCGTATGGAGGAAATCTCGGGTAGGGCATCCCCTGGGGCGGTTGTCCCGCCGCTGGCGGTCCTCCGTAGTGGTGAGGCGGGATCCCCTGCCTCGGATCACAGGCGGTCGGATCTTCCGTGCCCTGAGGGACAACGGCCGCGCCATAATGGTGCTGCTGGTGCGGGTGCTCTGCCGGCACTACACCACCGTTCCGAAGGTCGGGCATATACGAGTTGGCGAAGTATGAGCTCATCGTTCCTTCACTGGTCTGCCAAGCTCAACACTCGGGCATGTCACGACCCAACCCCCTAGTCTCCTAGTTCCGCCCCTGAAACATCACAAAACAAACATGTCAATGCTTTGACAAATCAACACCCACGGATTGGTAGGCCCCGTATTTCACATCTGCCACCGGCAATACAATACCTCTATTGTCAATTAACAAAAGTAAATACAAGCAAATAAAAACTCTCAAAATATATCAAAATCTTTAAAAATGACAAATATGTACACATTAATTCTAAACATTGGAGAAAAACATAATAATACATGGAAAAATGAGCGAAAACAGGAGAAAACCCTCCCTTTAGACCTACACGTCGTATTGTAAAAGACCACAATGGCTCCAGCTGCGACCTCACGGCAGTTGTCCAGATTTGTCACATTCTCGAACCGTGTAATCTTGTTAATTCTACAGCTGACATCGACCAACCCCTTAACCCCGAACAGGATACGTATTTAAAATACATCATAATATTACAGAACAAATAATGTCTTAATTAAACGAGGGGTGTCGTAAAATGAACATCTCTGTATTAACCCATTACAAGTTACCCAGTACTAACGACTACCTAATAATTTCTTTTTGAAAAAAAATAAAATATTTAAATAAATAAAGATTTTAATATTTTGTCGAACAGTTTCATTTTATCCTGCGCAATGAGAAAAGAATTTCACCGAAAAAAGAATTTCGTTTGTAAAACATTTATATTTTTATAAGCAGTACTTTGTTAACCTGGTAAATTTATTACATGTACAGCCTGCCTGTTTCAGTTTTATTGTAGCAATCTTTAAATTAAATTCTTTTTAGTAACATTAAGTTTGGTTTTATTTATTTTTTTACGTAAAACAAAATATTACTACAGTCGTAGGTAAAAAATGTTATTATTATGTAAATAAAAGGAAACTTACATGTACTTCATATAAATCCATCAGTATAACGAAATAAATCCCCGTCCACGTCAAGAAACATCACAAAATCCACGACAACCCCTTAGCATTCATTACGAACCGATCTAAACCACAGTGATTCAAGTTTGAAACCGGCTGGCACGGTGACGACTGAGATTTCATCTCAGCTTTGGGAAACTCAAGGAAATAGCACGTGGTTTTGACCACGTGGTTACTAAAGGCGAGCACAAAACCCAACACCTACACGTGTTTCGCCTCATTACGGGGACAGTGATAACTTGCAGGCAATCATCCCTGTCCTGTCCCAGACCTACATTGCGTCCCAGCGTAATTGAACGATTCATCAATTCCTGTGAAACCGACCGTGTTTTTCTTGTGGGCCAATCCAATACTCTCAAATATTGATGCCCGAAACAATTAATCAACTTCGTTTAGGAAAATAAACAAATCAAATTTTAATAATGTAATTTTAAGATACATGCCATACACAATATAAAGTATCATTTAGGTTACTCTCAACAAGAGTATAACAAAACAATAAAACAAATGGCCTTTGCGTGAGCCCTTGAGTAAAAAGGAGAAACGGAAATACAAGTACGATTATTTTAATTATTTTACTACAATGGTTATAAAAAAGTTTAGCCTTTAGCAAGCTTACATAGGAAGATTTTAAGATGTATAAGATATATGTATAAATATAACCATTTTTTTAAGTTGAATATGTAAATTGGCAATTATATTTTGATATTGGGTGGCATCTCAAATTAATATTTCATAGATATATAAACATAAATCATCAGATGGACAGAGGGTGCGTAACAGGAAGGTAAATATTGACTGATTAATGGAAAGGTAGTCTTAAATAGAGACACTGAAAAATAGATATATCGAATGATCGATATAGAAAAACGGACCGTTAGAGTGAGAGAAAAATAGCAAAAGAGAGAGAGAGAGATTTTGAGAGAGAAAGTGAGCTGGCGGGATAGACAGATCGACGGACTTGGTGAGGCAAATGAAAAGATATGTCCTCCCTATACAATGACGATAGAAAAAGAAAGATTAGAAAGATTGCAAGAGAGATAACAATATATGGTCTACGAATAAATAGATGTAGCGAAACAAATTCGCCCATAGATTGTACAGATAGTTAAAAAAACAAAAAGAGAACAAGAGAGAGAGAGAGAGAGAGACAGTGAGAGAGATTTAATAATGCTTGATGTGTGGAATGTAATGATTGTTTTATATGTTATATTATATGTTTTGTGTGATGTGATGATGATATATGTATTATAGATATTGAATTTGAATTCACACTCAAAGAAGTAAAGTTTTTCTAAAACCTACGTCACACCAGACCGCATTTCACGATCTCCAAACAATCATTAACTAACGGTCAATAAACACCACACGTTAGTAATTAATATGAAAATTAACCAAACATTAAAATACTTCCAATGCAATGAACTGATAATAAAACTAACTATTTTAGAATGATCCTCGTCTGACTATCCTCGCTGTTTTGTTCTGCCAGCATCGGCAGATCAAAACGATTCGAAATGACCAAACTTCAGGATAATCATCCCGCACAACCTAAAAAGAAATTTCACCATAAAGTTTTGATTTTCATTTTTTTATATGTGTATTGTATCACCTGACGCACAGACACACGCACACACGCGCGCGCGCACACACACAGACCACAGGGGTCCCTTTTTCTCCCTGTGAATATGTCATAAAGATTAATTACAAAAGTCCTACCAAAAATAATTCACTATTTGTTTTAATTTAAATCATAAATCAACAAACTGTATCAAATCTTTTCAAACTTAATTGATTGTATTAGTCTAATTATTAAATATGTTGATCAAGAAAAAATGAAAACATTACATTATAACACCGTAAAGGAATTATACTTTTATTACTACATGAATTTTATTAGTATCACCGAACGTCAGGTTTGATCGATGGGCCGTTGGAGATAAGTATGATTAAAAACATATCGGAAATCATTTTAACGGACGTCACAATGATTTCATGCATAAATGCCTCTGCATTTTTAATTGCTCGGATACTTTCGCTAATGTTAACAAGCATGCGAGCGAGTTTGCAATATAAATGTATTGCACATCAACTTTATGCGCTGATAAGCGGACGAGGATATAAATCATTCAAGGACAAGGTTTCGTATTGATTTTGATAAAAAGTAAGGCCAACAAATGGCTCAAATTGTGTGTGTGTGTGTGTGTGTGTGTGTGTGTGTGTGTGTTAGAGAGAGAGAGAGAGAGAGAGAGAGAGAGAGAGAGAGAGAGAGGGGGGGGGGAGAATATGTGCGAGATAAGCGATAGTGACAAAGAGAGTACGGAAAGTCCATTAGCAAAAAAACAGATGCAGGTACGCAAAAACTTCTATAAACTAAAAGAGAGAGTAAGGGACACGCAGTGAGAGTTGAACATGCCACAAGTTTTTTTTTTTAGTACTCTCGAAGACATGTTTTTTTTTTTTTTTTTAATTGTATATTACAACTACCTGCATTTTGGTATCTAGTAATAATGTATGAATAAATATTAAGAAAAACAAGAGTGGAGAAACTACCCACCGGTAGTACTCCTAACTATTCTTTATTCAATTGTCACTGGATAGAAGATCCCGTGGCCATCGTCTTTTTAGTCGGCGAAGAGGGTTGGAAGGAATTCGTCGGGATGAGAGGATTTGAATTTGAGGATTTATAGTGGTTGGGAGGTTTGTGAAAAAGTTTTGGTAACGGGAGTGGGTTACATCTTGGACAAAAGGAATATCTAGGTCTTTATGGGTAGTGTCGTTGGACACATAAAAGGGAGCATTAAGGATTTTTCTGAGGATGATGGATTGGGCTCTTTGGATGCGTAGGATATTGGAATGTTTGGCTGAACCCCACACTTCCAGTCCATAAGTCCATATTGGCTTCACAAGGGTGATATAAAGTAGTCTTTTGTTTAAGAGAGGTAGGTTAGAACGTCTGTCAAGAAGTCGTGAAAGTGCTCTGTAACGTTTCATAACTTCTTGTCGTTTCAGTCGTGTGTGGGGATTCCACGTCAGACGTTTGTCAATGTATAGTCCTAGGTAACGCACCTTGTCCGCAATTGGGAGGGGTATTTGATTGAAGTAGACTGGAGGAGGGATCTTTTTGCGGAGGGTGAAAGTTATGTGGGTGGATTTTTCTGGGTTGAATTTGAGTCTTTTTTTTTACACCATGATTCCAGTAGTGTGAGGTGTTCTTGAAGGTTTCGATTGGAAATGACTGGATCAGAATTGCTTGAGAGGATCGCTGTATCGTCTGCAAAGGTTAGAGTGGTAGTTTGAGGATGGGATGGGAAGTCTGCCGTGTACACTTGGTACAGTACGGGCGCCAGAACACTGCCCTGCGGAACACCAGCAAGGAGAAGGTGGTTTGGGGAAGACGCCGATCCTTCAATGACTCGGAAGTACCGATCAGTGAGGTAGCTTCGAAGGATAAGGTAATAGGTTGAGGGAAGGATGTTCTTGAGCAAAAACAGAAGGCCCGGGTGCCAAACTCGATCGAAGGCCTGGGCCACATCAAGAAAGGCCCCCGAACAATACTGTCCCAACTCAAGAGAGGCAGAAATAACATCTACAACCCGGTGGCACTGCTGAACTGCTGAGTGACCGTCACGAAATCCAAATTGATGGTCGGGGATAACTTTTTTAGAATTAAGGATTGGGAGGATACGTTTTAAAATAAGCCGTTCTAGGATTTTTCCTAAAATCGGTAGTAGGCTAATGGGTCTGTAGGAAGAAGGACAATGTGTGTGTTTTTTGGGTTTAGGAATCATACGGATGACAGAATGTTTCCAGGGACTAGGAAAATAGGTTGTTGCCACAAGTAGATATTATTTATTATTCAATATCTATAAGTAAATATTTTTTCCTAAATATGTCTCTCAGTGTATTAAGATTAATTTCAAATCTTCATAATTTTAACCACTCGAGATATAATTACGATAAATATAATTACGTATATTTTTCATTCAATAAAGGCAAAATTCTTATAGATCATTATTGTACCATCAGTGGAGACCTCGTGGCCGAGTGTTTAGGGTGTGCGTTATTTTCCACGCTAGGGGTTCTTATCTAATCTGG